AACAGGTCTATGATCACGAAGTACAAAAATGTTTTTAAATGATAGGAGAATGTGTTTGATGACATGACTTCCATTTTATTAGGGCTCTGGTATAGGAATGATAGGCTATTCCAGCATCATACATGCTAAGAAATTTATTAGAGGTGTAGTGGATGTAGTGAAAAAGACCTGGGTTAAAATCCCTACTCAGCAATGGAAGCTTGTGGGGAAGGGAGGGATGGAATAAGTGAAAACTACTCTTTAAATATCTCAGTTGCCTTGGAAGTCCTATTGGTGTCACTGTACATCGGTTTCAACTAGACAACACATAACAAGCTTTTCTGGACTTCTCATTGTGAAAGCCAAACCCTACAGTAAATACTGTATATATAAAGAGATTACTTTCTTTTTATGATTTCCACTTTTTTTATGGACGAAAACTGTGTGTTAAATAGCTCTCTGTATGTTATGTAGTCAATTTAGAACTGACTTATAACAATCTTAATAAGGCTTTTGAGGCGAGATGTTAAGGAGCGGTTTTTATCAGTTTTACACCCTACCCCCTCCCTGAGAGTTTCCATAGCCAAGCAGGGATTTGAACCCAGGTCTCCTGAGTCTTATTCCATCATTCTGACACTGCGTATCTAAAATCAACAGCTGAAGTCCTCTGCCCCCAGCTTAGTATGGCAATGCAGAGGGGTGAAAACTTCGACCTCACTGCATACAATTTCCCACTGCCAATTTAGGATAATATTTCATGCTATTTGCTGAATTGGATTTCAGTCCACAGCAGCTTATGTCTGACTAAATGTCAGTCTTTTAAAATCCATCAGAACTATTTGCTGTAGTTTTCCTATGCACCTGTCAAGAGAACCTATGCCTGTAACAAACCATTTTCTAAAATCACAGGACTTTTTAATTTGACCTTAAGTAACTGTTTGAAATATCACCTGACATTAACAGCATCATGATAAGGATTATTTAATCCATAATGTTTTGCAATTACTATACTGTACAGTATACCCATGTGCAAAAAATGTTGCATCTATTCCATTTCTGGATTTCTTTATAGCCTGTATCATAATGCCACATGAGATTTGCCAGAAACAAGAGCTGGTGGCCTCCTCTCCCTCCCACCCCCAAATGGATCTGTTTGTTCCTGGACATCAAGTGAGTTGGCAAGTACCTAGTATTTCCTACATTTGGGGACATTCAAACAACATTTTTCTTGGCTTAGAGAAACTCGCTGAAATGGTTTGGAATTCCTCCTTGAAACTTGCCCTGGAATTCTTTTGGACTATGCTTTCACATGGATATTTCTATTGAAGGCCAACTATAAAAGTGTTAAGAAGCTGAAAGTCTTTAAAGTGGGAGTGGTACAACAGGGAGGTTCATAATTCCTGGAAATGTCAAATGTGCATAGGCACACTGCGATTAAATCAGGGCAGTCCATTCAACAATGACATGAAAATTTTAGAACTGTAAAATTATTCTTTCCCATCAGGACTGTATTTAAGAGTTATGGGTTTACCTTTCCAGGTATTGCTCCTTGTTTTGCTAGCTGGCACTTGTCGATTAGCTAACTTCCAAGCCACACCCAGCTATGTTGTGTATGTTACTTCTCCTACACATGGTCAAAATCAAGTTACCTTCCGGGTTGCTTATGTCAGCACTATATACACACCCAGTGAAGTACATGATCCTCCCAGACCTCTTTGTTTGGTAACTAGTGGTAGAAATGTACACATCTATTAATAGTATGCAAATAGATGTATGCTGACATTGCACCTCTAAGGACGTACAAGGGGAAGACATTCATAAGGAATATTCCTTTCTGACTTTGTGGTTCTGCTTCTTGAAGGAAGGCAGAGTGGTGCTGATCATCCAACCAGCTTACTTCCTAGCCCAAAAGTTTCTGAGGGGAGTTTGTTATCAGGAGGAATTACTTTTAAGTGCTTATCTTGTAAATTATATCTTTGATGAATTAGGATTTTTTTTTTAAAAAAGCAACCATCAGTTTCTTTTAGTGAACACATTTCTTCCATCTGTTTCTGTACCGAGTATTTACATGACAAGCAAAAAATTATGAACTGATTTATTTTCTCCACTGCATCTCCATCCAAGGAAGAAATCAACCTATTGCACATGTTTTTCATGATAACCCATTTTCTACAAAAAATAAGTGGAAACTCTTTATTAGTGTAAGGTTATGGATTTCTGTTCAGCTGGATATCCCTCTCTTGCTTCTTTGGGTTTTAAAACTGTTATTGACTTTTAAGAGTTAATACTGTATACTAGGTTTCTTTTAATTCTGTAAGCCGCCTTAGATCCTTTAGGAGAAAAGCAGCATATATATATTTTAAATAAACAAATAAATATTGCTAGAATTATTTTTTAAAAGAGTGGCTCCTTTTTCCTGTAATGATACTTTAGTTTTTAAAATATGTAGTCATTCAAGCACAGCAACTTTGGTGTCACAAAGCCACATTTTGTAGATCCACGTGTATTCTAGTAACCCCAACTGGCAAATGCTCTTCAGCATTTCTGGTAAGAATTCTCCTCTACCCCATGCCATGAGAGAACACTGGGATCCTGCAGACTTTGGGAAAGTCTTTTAGACTTCAATGCCCATGAACCCCTACACATAAGGGCCAGTGCCCATGTTAACTGAAGGATTATAGGCACTGTAGTCTTAAAAAAAACTTTTCCAAGCTCCTGTGTCTACAAAGCCTGTGTTCTGTAATTAGTCACAAGTCCTTTGAGAAACTTGAAGAGACAAATGACTTACATTTCTCAAACTAGATCGGTTTCATTAGTGCCAGTTCTCATGTATTTTAGTAGCACTTTGTTCCTGATGTTTCCCCCTCTCGTGTGTTGCAAAGCAGGTTTACTTACAATGAAACAAAAAACACTAAAAGAGGGGAAAAAACACAAATTTGTTGAAAGAGTAATAGAATGATTTTATTGGACAACATGAACAGAGAGCATTTTTTAAATCTAAGAGTTAACAAAAACATAAAGGTGACAAATCTGCAGGTGAAGGTTCCCTTTTTGAAAACTTTTCCCTATCTTCAAGGCAAGTCATCAAGAACATTTGCTTAACATAGAGCACCTAAGATAGAAAACAGCCAAATATATTTGACAGATGTCACAGTACAAGGGATACAAAATAATCCATTTGTTCTTCCTACTTTTTTTTTTTCTGTGAACACTATGCCAGTCGCTCCTTGCAGAACAGATAATGAAAGCTGCAACTTAAATTGGCCCAAACAGGCAGAAACTATATTGGAGGTTTTTACCCCCACCACATAGGGACATTTACACATCCTCTTGTATTCCAGTTGTAAGAGACAGAGTAGAATCTTACTGCACCAAGACAAAGAGCTCTGTTATAACAGGAGTACAACTTCTTTTCCTTAGGACAAATTAAAATTCTGTAACATACTAACCCAGTGTGGAAGTTATAGAAGAGCTTAGTTTCCCACCCCCCCACTTACAGTATTAGTAAACAGTTTTCATATCTAACAACAAGTTGATCATGTATATGCCTGACCACATAATCTTATGTTTGTCTACTCAAAAGTAAGCCCCACCAAGTTCAAAGAGACTTACATCTAGGTAAGACTATACAGGACTGCAGCTTTAATGGCACTTATCAAAGAAAGTGGGTGAAATATTAATCATGTTTTCTTAAATATGATCTACCCTTTCTTCATTTCGTATTCAGAATAAAACATAAAAAATTATATACTTTATTACAAATGGAAAAAACTCAAGGTTGCTAAAAAAATCTCTTATTTACAAACAATACTGGGCAGAACCCACACAAACATAAAAATAACTTATAAAGTCATGAAGTAGTTTTACTTGACATTAATTGGCTGTCATAAAATTAAAAAGTATATGTACATACACAATTTGATTCAAAGGCAGGCAGCATAGTTCAGCTTCTGTTCCTAGCCTCCCACAAACTCCCTCCCCATTCTCTCTTTTTAAGGAGTACTAAGAGAAAGCAATCTGCAGTGTCTACTGCAGTTTAACCTTTAATACTGAATGATCTTTGAATGTTAGGTCCATGCAGGTCTTGGTCAATGTTAAAAAAAGAAAAGAAAAAAAAAAGAAAACCCAGGGCTTCCAACATGCCTCATCTGAGCAAGAACAGCACTTGGGAGAGCTGTATTACTTTCAGCTGGTATGCCACCACCTCAGACCAAAAGGCATACCACTCTCTCCATGCATGCACTGGAGGTGGTAGTGGTGGGAGAAGCCTTTTCCTCCTGCTGCTCCTTCCCAAGTGAGCTTTCCACCTCCCAGCTTCTTTTGCTCAATTTCCTCCCTATCACAGAGTTACTTTTCAGTCTCTTCAAAAAGTTTGCAACTGCTGTGTGAGCATGAGCTGGCACCCACTGTTGACATGATTCATGACCTTCTGCTTCAGCTGTGCAACCTGTTCTCGCAGCATGTTGGCAGTGGATGCAAGTTCTGAGTTCTGGGCTTTCAAAGTTTTCACTTTTTCTTCCAACCTGGCAATCCGCTCCAACTTTCTTTTCCGGCACTTGGAGGCTGCGATTCGGTTTCTCATGCGCTTCCTCTCTGCCTTGATCCTCTCCTGGGATTCCATGTCAATAGGAGAGAGGGGAGGAGTCTCCCCAGGCATTTCTGGGACAGTCTGAGGCTCTTCCTTCAGAGCTTGAAGGCGTGGATGCTGCACTGGCATCTGGGGGTTCAGATGATGTTGTGGAGGGTAGCCTAGGTTGCTCGCATTATAGGTAGGTGCTGTACTGAGTGTGTTTGGGTTGAAATTGCTGAGGTTGGCATAGACTGGAGGCTCACTGTGCAAGCTGGCACTGAAGCCATTGTTTCCTGCCATGGAAGAGACAGGGGTCATGCCTGTGTTTGCTGGCTGGGCAGCAGAGGTAACACTTGGCATAGTGTTCTGATTGTGTAGCTCGGCAAGAGCCCTGACAAAGCCTTCAGCGAAGCCTTCTTGTTCATCAGTGACATTTTTAGGACAGAGGAATTGGGTTGGGGTTGGTGTGGTAGTGATCAGTCCATTGCCAGACTGGATAATTAGCCTTTCAAGTTCAGGAGAAGCCAGTTTGAGAAGGCCCACATCTGGAGAGGTCAGGATATCAGCATTCTTGTTTCTCAGGTGTGGCTTGAGGCTGCTGGAGGGGTCAGACAAGTTGAGTGTCATGTTCTGTTTCAGAACCTTGGGATTGTTATATCCATAAGTACCACTTTCTGGCTGGACAAAGGTAGCACTCATGGAATCGTCGTAGAATGTAGGTTCCATCTTTGCAGTCATAGAATACAGTCCACAGGTCCTGTCCTGTTCAGAGCCAAGAAACAAACCAAGGGGGGAAAGAGAGCTGCTATTCCTCACCCCTTCAAAAAGTTAACACGAAAAAGAGTCCGACCTTTATAGACAACTGCGATGTTCACAAGAACAGCGGCAGCCAAACTCTTTCAACAATGAAAAAGCGGATCGATTCAAGTCTTGCCTTTTCGCCACAAGGCATGGGCTTCTCAGTCCCACTCCTCAAACTTTTCGCAGAAACGGAGAGTTTTGGACTCGACCCGCGGAGGAGCTTTCAGCTGCGACGCTTCAGCAGGACCATCGAGGCGGAAAAATAAAACAAAACAAAAAAGAGGAGAAAGCAATAAATAAGTCCAGCGAAGTCTTCGCTCGGCGGCCGAAAGGGACCCGGGCGCGAAGGCGAGCGCGCACACCCCTCGGAGCCGCTCTCGCCTCCCTTCTCGCTCCGGGAAGGGGACGGGCGCCCAGCGACTGTGGCTTCGGCCACCCCCCCACCCCTCGTGGGAGGGTCCTGCGTGGCGCCCGAGCGCTGCTTGGCCGAGGCTCCCGAGACCCTTGTTGTGCCGAGTCCGCTCCGCTCTCCTCGGTGGGCCGGGGCGGCTGTCCAGGGGGAGCCGCTCTCACTCCAGCCCGGTCCGGCTCCTTTGGGTGGGTCGCTGGGTGGGAGAGAGAGAGAGAAGGCAAAGAGTTCCCACAAACTCGTGGCGTCCCAAGTTTCGCTCAGCAAAGGCGGGGCCGAGGCGACGCGCCGGAACTCCACAACTTCAGCGGCTTCGGGACGACGAAGCGGGAACCCCCGGCGGGCACTTTGTGGGCTGCTCCGGTGGGTCGTCAGCCTTCCCGCTCTGGGGACCCCGAAGCCCAGCCCAGTTCAGCCAGAGGCGACTCTGTTCACACAACCAGGGCGCACGTCTTCTTGCTCTCTCTCGCAACCACAGGTTTTTTTCCCCAGCGCCGGCCCGAGTCGCTCTGTCGAGTCCCTGTCGGCGTCTGGAAGCGGGAACCAGTTGCTACGGCCGCGGGGTTCTGCTCTGTGCCGCTCGGTACCCAGGAACAGCGCTGCCGCGGTGTCGTGAAGCCGCCCTGAGACACCCGTTCGCCTGCCGTCCCTTCTATCCCACTCTGAGCTCTTTCCCAGCGTGGAGCCCAACACTTATCAGCGAGCAGTAACCCACTAAAAATAGCCCATGATGTCACCCCGGCGCCTTCCTATTGGCTGGAGCCGCCCCTCTAGGGGGAGGAGGCGGGTGGCTGGCCCTGCCTGTTGCAAAGGCGCCCGTCTCCATAGCCACCCCACCCCGAGAAGTTTTCAGCCTCCTTTTTCGCGGGGCATTATGGGATGAGGTAATGCCTGGGCTCCGTTGCAGGGCATTGTGGGCTGACGTATTGTTTTTGAATATCTGGTTACCCGCTTAAGAGCTTTGGCGGGGTTGGACGAGCCGGGCAGGGGAGGGCCGACGGCGAAGGGCGCGCGCGCGCGAGGGGGGGCAGGAGAAAGGCTGTCTCGCCTGGGGAACGTACCAAACGGCGAAAGGAGGAGGAGGAGGAGGAGGGATACGTCGAAGGAACTTTTTATTCGCCCGGCTTCGCGAGGAGGGGAGGCAAATGCCAGTTGCGGGAAGGAAACTCGTGGTTTGTTCCTGAAGGACGCCCGTGGATTGTGCTAATCGGGATTTCGATTCGCCCTAAGTAGCTTTCTGAGAAATCTCCCCCCCTCCCGCTCACTTGATCGTTAATCGAGTCCTTAAGGTGGAATATTGAGTTGCTGTATCATGAGGGCCCATGGATCCCCGGAGGGAGGGGGGAAAGGGGGTGTGATGGGCTGACTCTCACGTGACGGCCCAGCCCCCGCCTTCTCTTTCCTCTCACTCCCCCCCTCCTCCTTCCCGCGCCGGGCCGGCCTGGTGGCTCTCGGCTTTAAGAGGAGCTTCCAGGCAGGAAAAAGGAGGGGGGGCGGGGTTGGAGGAAGAGGCTCCGGGAGCAGCCCCGGAGGGGGCCTGTACGTTTTTTCACTTCGAAGGATGTCCCGTCAAGCATCGGAAGGACTTCCTACTTAAACACATAGGGAGAAGGAGGGAATGCGTCGGGAGTTCCGTGGGACTTCTGCCCCGCGTAACTCCCTGGGACGTGATTTTAGATCAGCAATTCCTGCAGATTGGGGGGCGGCGGCGGCGGTCTCTAGTTAAACCACACGCTTTCAATATTAAATGCTCCCCACTCCGCCCGTAGTTCTTCCACCCCGATGCTTCCTCCCCGGCAAACTTGACGTCGCTTCGGGGTTAAGAAATGCTGAACAGGGGAGATGATGGCTCAGAAAGTGGGATATTTTTTTTTCTGCCTCATCGATTTCTCCGCTTGCTGGGCTTCATCCCTTTGTGGCCCCGTCGGAGCCCCGTCGACCCCTTCATGTAGGGCAGGATAAGGTGGCTTTATTTAGGTGGGCCATTAAAACGCCTCGAAGGGGGGGGGTCCTTAACGCTTGAGAAGGCGCGTCACTGCCTTTTTCCTCATGTCTTTAGATTGGCTTTTTTTAAAAAAGTCGGTTTCCCTCCCTTCCCGGCAACTTGGCGCTTGCGTTCAAAAATCGTCACGGTTTGGCTCGCTCCCGCCAATAACTTGCTAACGCTTTGCTTCGCGCGAGGATCTCCCTTCAGGGGGGGGATCGATGCCGCTTCCCCGTAGACGCGTGTGATCCGAGAGTAGAAAGAAAGAGTCTGGTTTCCACGGTTTGGGTAAAAAGGCGAGTTCTCTGGCGCGGCCGCCAGTTGCCATCGCTGAGCCGTGCTGGGTTTTGTGCTTTTTCTCTCGCCAAGAGTCCGTTGGAGCCCCAGCGCCGAAGAAGGACGAGTTTATTCAAAACCCATCGTAACGCGCTCCTAAGGCAGCGAGCGCTCAACGCCTTGGGGAAATAGGCGCCATTCAGCAGAATTGAGTTTTACCCGAGGGAAAGTCTTCAGGATTGTTGTTGGTCCATTTATGGGTACTTCGCACGTAAATTCCACCGGACTCTGGGGGACTTTCGGGTAGAAGTGCATAGGACTCGCAATATAACGAAACTGTCATTTTACTGTTGCTTCTTGAGGGAAAAGATATACAGTATCCAGTTTCCAAAAGTCTTAGGAAGAAAGCGGTTTTAAGACAGGGCAGCATGTTTAAAACAGTTGTACTTTTCCAAGTGGAAGCCATGCTAGTCTGTGCAAGCATATCAGACAAGAAGCAAGCAGAACAAAAATGCCTAATAGTTGTACTTTTCCAAGTGGAAGCCATGCTAATCTGTGCAAGCATATCAGACAAGCAAGCAGAACAAAAATGCCCAATAAAAACCAAACTGCTATATTTTAATGTGAGCTTTGGTGGATCAAGTCTCGCTCTTATGTCTAAGGAAGGGGGCTTGATGCACGAAAGCTCCTATTAAAATATGCGAGTTAGTCTCTAAGGTGCTAAAATGTTTTTTGTTTGATTTCTTGTCTGTTATGATTAGAATAGAAGGCCAAGCTCATCCAACAAGTGAAGGCCACTGGTCCAAGGCAGTAAATAGCCCAAGTTTTTAATGTTCACATTCAAATATATGGTATTGCCCCCTCACCATACAGGAGAAGTAAACATGTTCAATTTTAGGTTAGAAAGAAAACTCACTACGCTTAGGAAGCCTGATTCCAAAAGGGAGTTTTGGTACCCCGGTTTTCATTTGAGGATTAATATTAATCTAGTAATATGCAGTACAATCCTATGCACTGAATAAGTTCCTCTGTATCCTTTTATTATTCATCTATTTTTATTTTATTGATAATAATACAAAGTAATATGACAACTAAAGAGACAAAAAAACAAAAGAACATTCAACTAACATAAAAAGAACAAATTTAAATCAAAATACACAAAACAATCCATCCCATGCTTCCCACCACCTTCAGGGTTAATTTACTTATTTGTTTTTCTTTATATTTAATACATGCCCCAGTTTCTCTCCAGAAATATAATGGTTCTCATCCAGTGGTATAACCTTTACCTTTCTCAAACACATGCACTAAAAATAAATTCCAGATATCTTTAAAATCATTTATATTCAAGTAAGTTTCTCTGTGTTCTGTGGAATTTACTCCCATGTCCCTTATACACAGGAGTTTTGAATGGCACCTAAAGAGCAAGAGCTCTGAGGTGAGAGAGGGAGGCATGACTAGTCATCCCAGTGGTTTCCAGTAGAGTTGTGGGAAGCTCTGAATACAGGGCAAACAAACAGAGCCCTAAAGCCATTCTGGCTGTGGGATTCTTGGAGTCAGTAAAAAAAAAAACACCCAAGTAATTCACGAAGGCTTTCACGGCCAGGATGTAATGGTTGACAGCACTCTGAAGATGCCGGCCACAGAGACTGGCGAAACGTTAGGAAGAACAACCTTCAGAACACAGCCAAAGAGCCCGAAAAACCCACAACAACCAAACCCAAGTAATTTTTGCCATATCTTTGCTTTTTTCCTGAAAGGCTTCTTTCTGGATTGAATGTATGTGGTCCCAGAATTGGTGAAAGTAATTTCCTTCCCACTGAAAATATGGAGGGGAAATGAGAAAGAAACACTGGAAAATCTTGCCAGGGAAAGTCAGAGCCATAGCTATCAGGACCTGGGGTAGCTTTATAAAAGGTGGATTATCTACCTACCATACTGCCAGGTAAGATTGATCTGCCACCAGCGAATTATCCATTGAAATGAGTAGGATTTACCTGTTATAAGTATGCAGATCATTGCATTGTCAAAGATGTAATATCTGGCCCATCAAAAAAAAAACTTTATGGTACATGGGAATAAAAAGCAATTGGACAATCCCCTTGTTAGGACCACCCAAAATGCTGCAAAAATGTACAGCAGCACTCTTCATCAGAGTAGATGACCTCAAAAGGTGTAATTATCCCCCACTTTTTTGATCCTTCTAAATAGGGCAAGGAGGACAATTATGTTTTATATAAAAAAATCCATTATGAATACCCCCTGCCCAAAAAGCTCAGGTGGGTACCTGTAATGAATAAAGGTCTCTTCCAGTATAAAATAGGATACATCCATAGAAGGAAAGTTGTTTATTAAATTAGTTTAGCTTGTGCTTCAGCATTCCTTCATTGAAGAGATTAAAATATTGGTCCGCCATTCAAATGGATACAGTATAATGTGGACTGTGTTGGAATTCTCTCCCTTAAAGTGTTGGCAGATGAGCAAGGAGATAGAATGATGCAAATAAAAGAATGAAGTTGTGCATACAATTCTCATTAGCCTCCAACTACAATTGTAATTGTAATAAAAATAAATGTGGTGTGCCTTGATTTTCAATATGTCATCCTAGATTAATATTTTTGTTTCCTTTAGAGTAGATGCCCATATTTTAAAGGCATTATCAATTAAATCTGTAAAATTTTATTTCTCAGACCAAGTGGTTGTGTAAATCACTGGCAAAGAAATTAAAATAGATGCCCGGAAGTGTACTCAGTGTGGTGTAGTGACAGAGCCCTGGGTTCGAATCCTCATTCAGTCTCCTGACTCGGGGTACTGGGTTTGAATCATCATTCAGGCATGGAAACTCACTTGGTGGGGGAATGGAACTAGTTAAACCACCCTTTCAATATTTCACTTATGTTGAAAGCCCTGCTAGGGTTGCTGTGAGTCAGTTCCAGCTTGATGGCACATAACACAAACCAAAAGTGTGTACAGTATTTGCCTTTCACAGCTACTGATTGACAGCAGGGAAAAACAGCAAGAAGTCTTAAGTCCTGTTCAGGCATGAGCAAAACATATTGTTTAAACATGTGAGGAAAATGAAGGGGCAGTCTTGTCCCCTCTACCACCATTTTAATTGTGTAGAACTGACGTGTCTGAAGAGGAGCTCCTACCTGTGAAACAGGAATGTGAACCGAAATATAGCAAAATCAGGGTTCTTGCTCCTGTTGAAATATTCTAAGGGTAAAAATTCTCCTCAGACATATTGCTTCCATATGAGCAAAGCAGCAGTGGTGCAAAGTGGGGCTAGTCCACTCCTTTCATTATGTTTTTTGCTCTTTTGTGATAGGAATGTTTGTTATTTTTAAAAATATATGTTATTGTTTTAATCATCCTGCACTCCATCCTGGGTATTCTAGACAGGAAAATGGCATATACCTGAAAATAATAA